ACAAAAACAAAAAATTTAATTAAAAAACTCAATGCCACCATCACATCATTCACAATAACATCTTTGTATAAAGAAAACTCATCAATTAAACATTTATGTATGCAAATGTAAAATAAATAAAGAGATTGAAAAAAGAGCCAAACCTTTGAGAGGAACATCCAAAACAGCACCAGCAAGTAGATCTTTCGGAGAAGCAAGGCCATTGAGCTTGAGTAGGGTATCCTCTGTAGTATTGAACTGCTTGAGCAAGTTTTTTAAATTTTGCTCATGTATAACTCATGATCTTTGATCTCAAAACAAAAAAAAAAAAAAAAAATGAATATTAGGTTAATCCCATAATAAAAATCAGTCTACCTCGTTAAAACCTTACCTCCTCTCCAATGTACTGAAAAGTTACTATTGACATTAATCCACTTTATTATAAAAATATTTGTGGATTTTGTCAAATAAAAGTATTTATGCATGTGATTTGATTAATTTAATCATATTAGAGACATATTTAGTGCAATTGGTTGTATACCCATAAAAAACAAAAAACGAAAAAATTAATTAAAAATTTGAAGTTGGGACAATAATATGCTGCTTCTGAATGATCAATTTGCATGCTAAGAGAACCAAGACCAGGTTTTAACATTAGCATCCACGACTTTATCCTACCGGCAAATGAAACTTACTATCCAGAACAAATAGCTGCATTATGTGAAATTGAGAGAGAAAGAGCAAACAAAATGATAGGAAAAAAAAAATCAATTTGACAAAAGTAACATAGAAACATAATTTCTTTTCCTAACAAAGCTCTGCCAATAATTAGTTCATTAAAAGAAACTTGAATGCCCATACCACCTGGGAAAAAATAACACTTGAAAAAAAATTACAAAAATGTATAAACCAAATCACACCTGGAAAAAAATATAAAAATTAAAAAATAAATCTAAAATCATAATTAACTATTTATTATCCATGCCAACAACACTTCAAATGTATAAACTTGGCTTATCAGTGTCGTCTTTATGAAGGATTGCAGAAACTTGGCTTAAGGTTGGTCTAGAATTTTCTAAACTTGTACAACAGAGTTCACTATCTTCTATGCTTGGCCATTTCTTGTGTGCAATCGTCTGAGTTTATGTAACTTACATTAAGTTACACCTAGAAAGGGTTAAATGAGTCTCTCCTCATTGTGCAGGTGTTGAGAGCTGCTTCACGCCCAAAATTCTTAATTTTGGGCAATGTATTGTGGAGGTGATGTCGAGATTCTGAAATATGTTGTCTTTATTATTTTTTATTTTGGGTAAATTTTAGAATGAATATGTTTACATTTAAAAGTTAAAGTGTCGCTAGTGGGATAGTGTTTAATCTCATAAGTAATGCCTTTAGATTTTAGAAAGAGAAATTGGTAGAATTACTGGATATATCTCACCAAAGATCAGGCCTCTCTTCACATAATCTCCATTTAATTGAGCTTATATCCTGCTTGGAAGTGAGACTTTGTTAATTTTTATATGGTGACAAACAATATAAGAACTTTATGCAATGTACGTTTCCAGAAGAAATATCGTGATCACAATCATTTGTATGATATACCTCTTGGCTATCTCATGAATGTGGGTTTTTTTAGTTGAATTTGTATTGCACTTTTCAATGGAGGCTGTTGGTTTTATTTTATAATATATCAAGAAAATGAGGCTTTTAGTTATGTCAAATTACATCAGGAAGTGCTAAATCAAGCACATATCAAAGGTAATTCCTGATTTAGTGACAATTCACCACTAAATTGTGAGTGCACTTGTTTCTAACTACTAAATTCTTCCTATCTGTCATGAGAATGATCATAAGCACTGGGTAAGTCATATTGTTACATGTTCAGCAGCTATGCATCTTTGCATTGACATCTTTCTTGTTATTAATTTTGGGCACTTCTCCAACTAATTGCAGTAATATTTTAAAAAAAATAAAAAATTGAGGAAAAAATTTCAAATAGTCACTAAAATTTGTCTAATGATTATGCTACTAATAAACTTATGTATTATTTTTAGTTATGCTCAAAACTAATCAATGCAAGATTTTTCAAAAGCCAAGTAGAACTCAAATGCCAAAAGCTGTTATTATCATCTTCAGAGACATTTCCTCATGAGACCTACAAAAGGTTCTATCAAATTAATAACCAAAATCAAGCATTGAAATCTTCCCCTAATAATCAATTAACAATCTACTTCACAAAAAAGCATTGAAATCATCCCCTGATAAGCAATAATATGTATGAAAATATAACGGCTTTATCAAAGCTATTATACATTTCAAAAGAGGCAAAGAAACTTTATGATGTACAAATTCAGATAACCACTGCATTCAGGTAACCACTGCATGATATACAAAAAATGAACTTTATTATGGAAAAAGAGGCAAAGAAACACAGAAAGCCACACAAGAACATACTTCTCATCCTTGAGACTCAAACAACTTTTCATCCTTCATCATTTGGAACATACTTCAACCAAACAGGAAAACCCCTAAAAACAAAAATGCAAAATAAAATCAAACATTAAAAAAAAAAAAAACTTGAATCTAAAAAATCCATTCTCAAAACTCATCAAATATATATAGATTAAAACTTTAAAATGCACATGAATGGCCCTAATCACCATAACACAGCGAAATATGGTAGGAAACCCACACTTTTATACTTAAAAAAAAAAATAGAGTACATTACCAGAAGAAAAAGATCATATATCAATGCTTTCTGAACCAACTTTATGAATCGAACCAAGTTATACTAAAACCCACAACAAAAAATTGATGAAGGGGAATGAGGGAGAGAGAGAGAGAGAGAGAGGGCAAAATGACCAAAATGCAAGTAAAAAACAGAGTACAGGAATAAAGCCCTAAAGTGATGAAGGGGGATGAGAGAGTGGGAGATGAAGGGATTAAGGTTATGGCTGGGAGAGAGGGAGGAGGACAGGAATAAAGGGTTCCGGTTTGGGTCTCCAGCGAGGGAGATGAGAGGTGGTCGGTGGTCGTCGGTGTCGCGACGACGGTGGTCATCGCAAGAGAAGAGAGAGATGAGAAGAAGTATTCAAGAAGAAGAACAGAGAGGGAGTGGGAGAGGGAGAGAGAGAGAGAGAGGGAAGGCAGACATGGGTAGGTGGGAAGGCAACAACGATCCTTTTAGGGAGAGAAGTCTTTTGGGCGGGAGATCCATTGATCTGAACCGTTGATATAAAGTTGGAATTAATCTCAGCCATTGAATTAAAATGTATCTCACATACATTTTATACATTTTCAAAAACACTTCTCCCTTATTATATAGATATTACATATTGATATTAATAAATTCTTATATCAATAATATGCAAATAATATACAATAGTGGGTTCAATGAATTTGTATTATGAGATAAACATTAAATAAAATTGTATAATTGTGCAATTAATTTCATACATTTGATTGTATTACAAGTACAAATATATTATAGAAAATTGAAGTGGGAAGTTGATAGAAAAAGATTTTTTTAATACTATATATTTAAAGGACCTGTTTATTGTTTGTTGTTTAAAATAAAATTGCGATCTGAACAATCTAATTATAAATTAATATTTATATTCATAAAATTTCTCATTTATAGTTTAAATTATTCAACTGAGCATGCATTCATTTCTTAATTAGTTATATTTTGGATATAGATCAATTTACTCATACAAGTCTCCATACTTTATACACATATCACATACCAATTTAAGAAACACGTATAATTACTATATTAACAGGTGATGAAAAATTGCGTGCCACGTGCGACGGACGTGTCCAGTCACTAGTGTATGTATATGTTTGGTATCTACATGTTGTATTTTTTCTGTATTATATGGTTACTACAAATTAAAGTGACATTTGTTTCAAGTGCTTCTGTTTGAACATTACATTAGTTTGCCTTTAAAATTTATTTTCACATAAAAGCTAATTTGAAACAAATAAAAGTATAATAAAACACAATTTCCACACAAATTTTTACCTCATTTTTCTTTTCTTTCTTTCTTTCTTTCTTTTAACTAATCAAGTACACCTCGACTTAAATTTCAATATTTTAGGAGATGTAAACTCTCTTTTTTTCAACTACACCTCGACTTGTAATGGTTGTTTTTAGGATTTTAATAAAATGGTATTTGGGAGTTCTGACTTTTTCTTTTTTATTTCTTTATGCATATTGAAAAATCTTAGAAATCCCTTAGATATTGATTTGAAATTATGTATCAATTTTAAGCAGTAAATAACAATCATAATCAAATAATCAAGACAAATCAACACAACAATTTTAACGTGGAAAAACAACAACTGGAGCGCTTCCAATTGTGATAAAAAATCACGGGCAAAAATTACAAAATAATCATAAAGGAATTACACAAGTGTACTCTCAATTACCTAGCGAATCCACACCCGAATCGAACCGACCCCTATGTGCCTTTTCCAGCTCCGTCTTCACCTTAGAATTGTCTTGCCCAATGTTGAATCCACAACACCGATGCCGAATCCACGACAATGAGCCACTCCAAAATCCACCAAAGCTTCAGGGTCAAATACTACAGAATCTACTGAAGAACAACTCTCACTCTTTTTTAATAAACCAAGCTAAACAAACCCTTTGATATAATTCACTCAATTCATTATTAAATTTTCATAGATATCAAAGGAAACAAGTAAAGAAGTTCTAGATGAAAACCCTAATACCCAAGAACAAGATCTAGAAATCGTACCCTAAAATCTGATTGAACCGCACCTTTTATAGCAAATTGTTCCGCGACCTCCGCTCGAGTGCAAGAATGGCCACTCGAGCGGACTGACGCTCACTTCTTGCCCTCGAACGCAAAAACACAACTTGCAGTACTTTTGCAAACAGTTCAAACTTCTAGAACCAAAGATTCTCCGCTCGAGTGCACAAAATGGCCGATCGAGTGGCCAACACTACAACAAAAGTTGCCTATAACCACGTTTTTTAGACAACGTTTTTTGACCAACGCTGTGGAAGGCGTAAAGTTAAATTAAAAACACGCGTTACACTCTTATAAGCACGCGTTACACTATGCTCCGTCTCCATTTCTCTTTCCGTCTCTATCATTCTCTCTCTATCGTTTTCTCTGTCCGTCCTAGATCTAGGGTTTTCTCTCTCTCTCCTTGTGCTCCTTGAGAGATTCATCAGGTTCGATTTCGATGAACTGGTTCAGTGCTAATTCTAAATCCATCGATTCTTGAATCGATTTGGTTAAAATTTCTTGACTATTTTTTGTTTTTCTTGATTCTGATTCTGATAATTTTATAGAGAAAGATGGACAGATTGAGTTGCACGAATGCGAGGTTACGAGACCGAGGAGTGAAAAAGGATCGAGATCATGGATCGGGATCGAGACAGGGATCGGGACTGAGACTTGTCGAATCGAAGCAAGAGGAGAAGACGAGATCATGAATATTGGGTTTCTGGTAATCGAGTTGTTATGGTAGCGAAGGGATTCTAATTTATGGATCAAAGGGCAAAGCTCCTCCTAAGGTTAGTCCTCTCATCGCTACTCTGGTCTTGTCCTCTCTCTCTCTCTCTCAGATCTGATCTCAAACACGTAATTTACTATCTTCACGTATTTAAAAAGATAAAGCATCATCTATTATTATCTATCTGTACTTATGTTAATACAATCAAGGGTGCTTAAACTTTGCCCCCTAAAGTATTGGTCATTACTCTTTATATTTTCCCGATTGAGCCATTAAACTATTGTTTTTCCCAATGTGAACTAATTGATGACTATCATCCAATTAGCTGACAAAAAAATACCATGTGCTACTTATCTCACTCTAACCAAGCAGTCTATTGAATTAAGGAAAAGAAAATAACAAAGTTACATTTTACCCTCAATGTATTCTAAATAAGAGCATTGAGTGGATAGCATATGGTAAACAAAATTGTGTACTTAATGGGTAAGGAGAGATTGAAAGATATTTAAACATCATAAGGATTACTTATTCCAACAAAAATGGAAATAAGAAATTATAACTACTATAATTATATTGTAATTATGACCAAGACAGGTTATACTAAAATGCATGATTTTTTAAAATTGTTGGAATCATTACAATGAATTCAAGGAATCAAACTCAGAGATACTGGAAAGAATTTTCCCTTGCATGTGAGAAAGGCACTAAGAAGGAAATAGAATAGAACTAGGCGTAACAGATTGATAAAAGAACCATTTCCCCCAAACTTTACAGTAACCTCTTCTTCACCATAGCTACGTACAACTATATTTGTATTATAGACAAATACAATTCCATGATAAGTGATCTTTCTGGAGGCTCCAACAAATGTAAGTATCTAAAATACTAAGACCATTCAAAGAATAAGAAATTTAATGATTGCCTAAAATTCCTGCAAGCTCAACAGAGCTGGCAAATTGAAGAGGACAAATTTATTCACTGACAGAAGCATATAAAAGATGTAAGGAGGTATTCTTTTTTATCAGCAGTAACTGAGGTCTTCTTAGACAATCAGGCATCTTATCAACAACATAAGATGCCACAATGGTTTGAACTGTGTACAGCATCAAAAATTAAAGGCATGTCAGGGTGGTGTACTAGAATCATTAAAAGAAGATAAACAAGTTTTCTATTTTAATGACAGGCTAGCCTATGAAAACATAAGAAAATCATCTCCATTCACCATACCTACATCTTAATGTATGAGGACAAGTTCACCAATGAAATAACCACATAAATTTTACCTTTATGATCAACAAATAAACTTGGACATATAGTCCTGTCCTATATACTGATGATGGTTGTTTCTTTAAAAAAAGAAGAAAAAAACAAAAAAACAAAAAGAAGACTAGAAGGTCCCACATTCACAACACCAGCTGAACTGAACATGCTAAATCCTCAACAATTGATTTGGCATAAAAGAAAGGCTACAAGCAACAGGAATTGCTTACTTAACATGCTGAATGCATGAGAAGTGAATAAATCAACTCACTAAAGTTTATGTTGTGGATGTGAATATGGGAAAGAACATAAGATGAAGAAACAAATCATTCTGCAAGATAACAGTTCAGCTGCAGCCACACGAGATGATGAAATAGTAACGATGCTTTCAGCAATCTAACTGAAGCCAGCCCACATCAAAGTTATATCAGGGACATATTTATAGCAATAAAAGAAGATAAATTATGGACAAATGTTCCCTTATATTAATAACAAAAGCTTTTTATGCCCCAAACTGATACCAATAAATATAGACAGTTAACAGCCATAGGAATATGTGCACAAAGTTAACTTTCTACTTCCTTGCTTGGTCTTTTGGTGTATAAACAGTACTATTCTTGATGTAGTTCTCAACTCTGTCAAACTTCCTTTCATTTTTTTTTTACTGCATTTCTACTTCCTATGTCATACAATCTTGGTCTTCAAGTTGAGAACATAAAAAATCATATGTAGTGTTTGATTGATCTTTTTTAGCAAGCATGTCTCTTTAGTTTATTTATTTTTTACTCCCAATCATTTGCTTACTTATATGTGTATATTTTGTTTTTGTGGATGATCACAGATGCGGACATTCTTTTTGTTACAACTGCGGATCTCCTCTAATAGCCCACTACTGTAGTAAATGTAAGCATTAAGTCCTCATAGATGCCAGCCTTTTTGCTCTTCTACTGTAAGTTAAAATGTTGAAATGTGAATGGAAATATATTATATAGTTGAATTTTGTTTGTGTGTGAAATATTTCAATCTATGCAAGTTCAAGTTTTTATTTATCTCTCTCTCTCTCTCTCTCCCTCTCTCTCTCTCTAACCTTAGTTCTTGCTCAGCCTATCTATCTATATATACTTCTGGCTTTACAAATCCCATTGAGAGCTACTTAAATTCCTCAGTTCTTACTCAACCTATCTATCAATTCAACTTCTCATTTTAGTCCAACCATGCTCTATTTTGTATTCTTTCTAAAATTCAAACTATTTATTTCTTCATAATCCCAATAATAACTTTCTTGAATTTGATTACTTGCTCTGGCTGAAGAGTTGGTGCTTCCGAAGCTGTTTGAAGATGTTTCAAGAACCAGGTGTCCGTAACTACCTCTGCCGCCAATGCAGTACCACTTTTGCATTCACCGACCAGTTAGTTTCCAATGTATGATCACTCTCTCTCTTCTTTGTTTGTTGTGCGTTGGTTGCTTTGAATTATGCATCAATTTCTGTACTGTGCGTGTTAATAATAACAGAACCATCATAATTCCAATATAAACTTGCAAGATTTGCATGTCTTTGTTGTTTAAGTTGTTCCAATTTTGAGGGTTTTTTTCTTTCATGATGTTATCAAGAAATGCTTAGTGGTAATTAAGGCTTGTTGATTATGGTATTACGAGCAATTGGCGATGGGTTTCTTCATATTCTCGATATTGATTAATATTGATTCTGAATTTTTTTTTGGAGGTTAGGGTTCTTGATATTCTTGCATTGAAGAACAATATGTGTGTGTGTTTTGAACCAATATAATTTCTCAAAGTGCTTCAAGATTGTAATGAAATTGCCCATCATTATCTGGTCATGTATTCATGAAACTTCTGTTTTCAATCTGCTACAGGACATAGTGATGGAAGCAGCCATCTTAACAAATGTGTAAGATGCTCATCTTTAATGCAATTTTTTTAAAAACTTTTTAACAATTTGTTATGAATTCTTATTAAAGATTAGTGCTAGACACAAATTCTGATCTCTATTGTAATCAACAAAACAAATGCAATTTGGATGAATCTTTGCTAACTTGATCACAAAATTTAAATTTATCAGGAACAAAAAAAAAGACATGTTTTAGATTTGAATGGTGCAACTGGTTAGTTATGTCCTAAAAATTGTCACCAACCTCAGAATCACATTGTTTTGATCGTCGAACTTCTTCAATCTCCTGACCCAACATGCACGATCAAATGCATTTATTGTATTTATCGACATGTTTTGTTTTTTAGTCACTTTCGTGTCCGTCATTTGCCTAATCTTCCTGTTATTTACTTACTGCAAAATTACTGCAAAATATTAAAACACTGCTGCACATTTCAAAGAATCAAGAATCTTAGAGCAACACAATCACAGTCCTTACCATTTTCAGATATGGCAGTGTCGTGGCCATAGGACTCAATGTTCACACAAGGCTGGCATTTTGTCTAGAGATGTTATCTGAAAATTGATGACACAAGTACAGAAACCATGGACATATATGATGCAGCAGAGTGCTTGCAGTGAGTTCTCTACTATGCTCATCACTTAGTTCTCCATGTTACATTTTTGTTCACCAAATATTATCTACAATCAATCAATGAGATCCTTTGCTGCATTGTGGTAGAATAGTGTACATTTGCCAGTTTTAAACTATTATTGAATTCTTTCTCTTAGGTTATCACACATTGAGCCCTTATTTTAGAACTATATTGTCTGATTACTTATGCATACAATGAGATTGTGTATTTTTGCAGTTATAAATTTATTTATGTTAGATGTTTAGTGATGCTTTGTTGTGCTTGACGTTGAGGGAAATGGGTTAATGATGGATAATGCATATATATATATATATTAATTGCTAGGTTGCAAATGGGTTAGTGATAGATTTTGCAAATTTACTTACTGGGTTGCATGACGAATCATTTTTGTGCAATAGCACTTTTAAGATCATTATTTTTTAGTCTTCAACTGATAATGGCATGCTCAATGGCTGATATTTTTGGGTTGATAGTCAATGGCTGCTGTAAGAATCCAACTATGAAGTCTATTTTTTATCTGCCTCTAACTTCTTTCTAATCAGATTGAGTTTGTCTTCTTTTTTTTTTCTTTTTGATTACAGTAAAAAAGCTTTTATGATCTTGAGAATGACAAAGAATGGAAGGATGATTCCGGTATATATCATCATTTTGCTGAAGAGGATTGGATGACTAGAAGATGAAGTTATTTTCAAAGTTTGGAGGGCACACTCCATATTTTTTTATTATTATTAAAATGTAAAAGTATTAGTAATTTTTATTTTTATTTTTATTTTTTTGTATTGATTTAACATACTGTGTTTTAAGGGTTTTTTTTATTTATTTATAAGTTGTGGAAAATTGAAAAATGGATATTGACTCACATTATCGTATATATTTTGAAAATGGTGATGGATAATAGGTTTGCTTTGAACAAAAGTAAAAGCATAATTAATTATGAATTTATTTTTTTTTTTTAAAAGAGAGAGAAAAGGTGGCGTTTTCGTAAAAACGTCGCAAAATATCGTCATGATTACGTCATAGTTAACCCTTCTAACGGACACTGTTAACAGAGGTTAAGAATCAGTGGCGCTTTAAAGAAACATCGTCAAAATATTTAGTGGCGTTTTTAAAATGCCACAAAGATATGACGGCGGCCACATCTGCAACGAATTTTGTACACGTCACTTTATATTTTTGCGGCGTTTTTTGAGCCTATTGCGGCGTTTTACAAATGCCAGTAAATCTCAATTTTCCTGTAGTGCAAGCAACTTGGACTGCATTTTTGTTTTTTGCTTCAGGGGTGCTGTCCCTCGAGCCCGCCTGGACGCTGCGCCAGACCTACCAAGGGGCGTTGCCCCCTAGACCCCCACGAGCTGACCGGACAGTTCAATATCCGACATAGTTAGCGAAGTAGCAAACATGAAAGAATTAAGATTACAAACTCCTCTACATAGATACAATTCAAGTTAGATTCGCATCTAAAATTCATAGCCTCATTGAAATAAAAAATCGAATACAATTACAATTAAAAAAAAAATTATCAAATAAAATTACCAAAAATAAAAACCTACCACATACACTTGTTCATGTACTGTTATACCTTTGAAAATTTGTTTGTAGAATGCAAAGAACAGGGGAGTAAGGACTTAACAGCGCCATTTTGATGTGACAGCACCATCCCCAAGTTGGTGTCGCAAAATCCAAATGAGATGGGCAACATGCAAGCATCCACATATTTTTTTCGTACAAGTCCAATGCTGACATAAGCTCTTACGTTACTAACATTAAGACCGAGCATAAAATGGTAGGCGAGATTAGCAAGTGATAAAAATGTTAGGTACGATCATTTTAACAATTAAAAGTCAAATTGAGACACCCATTTCAATATGTTTAAAACAATCAAATAATTGTCCCAAACATAGACACTCATCAGTATAAATCCAAAATAGCCAATCCAACCACCAATCCCGGCTGCAATGGCATTTTACAAGCATCAGCTTCACTTCGTTTTAGTACCTCTAATGGCCCCAGGCCACTTCATTCCCATGATTGACATGGCCAAATTATTGGCACAACACGGTGTGAACGTCACTGTCGTCACCACTCCTATCATTGCCTCCAGATTCAACCCAATCATCAACCGTGCCATCGAATCTGGACTCCCCCTCCGCCTTCTCCCACTCCGGTTCCCCTCCGTAGAGGCCGGCCTACCAGAGGGGTGCGAAACTGTAGACAATGTTCGTTCTGTAGTCCTAATGAAGAATTTCTATGCCGCAATCGACATGTTGCAAGAACCGTTCGAGCAATTGATTGAAGAGCTCAAGCCATGTCCATGTTGCATAATAGCCGATAAACATATTGCATGGGCAGCCGACACCGCTCGCAAGTTTCAGATTCCGAGAATTATTTTTGACGGAATGAGTTGCCTCACTCTTTTATGCTCACACAATTTACAAATTTCCAAAGTTCATGAGAGTCTATCCGAGTCAGAGCCATTCGACCTTCCTGGCTTGCCTGACAGAATTGAGGTAACTAAAGCTCTGCTGCGTATGTTATTCAATGTGGGTTCATCAGTACAACAAAAATTCATGGAACGAGCACGAGCTGCCGAAGTCGGAGCATATGGGGTGGTGATTAACAGTTTCGAAGAGCTAGAACCGAGATACGTCGATGAGATTCGAAAGGCAAAAGGAGACAAAGTTTGGTGCATTGGGCCGCTATCACTGTGCAACAAAGATAACTTGGACAAGGCTCAGAGAGGAAACAAGGCTGCCATCGATGAAAACAAGTGTTTGATGTGGCTCGATGAACAAGAGCCAGGCTCTGTGGTTTATGTGTGCCTTGGTAGCTTGGGTCGCCTCACACCTCCTCAGTTAATCGAGCTTGCTTTAGGATTGGAAGGGACGAAACGCCCGTTTGTGTGGGTTATAAGAGGCGGAGGAAATGAGGGAGAGATAGAGAAGTGGGTGGAAGAAGATGGATTTGAGGAAAGAACGAAAGGGAGAGGGCTTCTGATCCGAGGCTGGGCACCGCAATTACTCATATTGTCGCACTGGGCTGTGGGGGCATTTTTGACACACTGCGGGTGGAACTCTACACTGGAAGGGGTGTGTGCTGGTGTGCCGCTGATAACTTGGCCGATGTTTGCCGAGCAATTTTTGAATGAGAAGTTGGTTGTTCAAATTTTGGAGATTGGAGTGAGCGTTGGGGTTGAGAAGGTTGGGAACATATTTGGGGAAGATAAGTGTAAGAAGTTGGTAGAGAGAGAGACAGTTGAGGAAGTTGTGGAGAAAGTAATGGATGAAGGAATTGAAGGAGAAGAGAGAAGGAAAAGGGCAAAAGTACTTGGGGAAATGGCAAAGAGGGTAATAGAAGGGGGTTCTTCCTACTTAAATATGAAATTGTTAATTGAAGATGTCATGAAACAAGTTAACCACAAGGAATCAATGCAAGAACATAGTGGCTCATAAAAAAGGTCAGATTCTCTCCATACCATGAAAATTGTCACCAAAACACAATTAAGTGGGCATCTCACTAAAAAAACAAAAAACAAAAAAACAAAAATAAAAACAAAAAACAAAACAAAATTAAAAAACTTGGTGACACTTTTCCAGACAACATTTTCATTCTTACTAATTTTTCTCTAACAAAATTTAAGTTGGTGGCTAAGAGAAGACCATAAATTGACCCTTTTTGTTGTCTAGTACACATAGTTTAAGGGAATATGCTATTTTTATTTTATTTATTTTTCATGTTTTTTAAAACTTATTTTTATCAATGCAAGTCCCACTGTCTAGTATTTATAAGTAAACAATAGAATCAAAATGAAATTATATAGCATTTGCTTCCCTTACAAAATAACATATTCCCAGTACTTTATTTATTTATTTATTTTTTGGAACTCAAATCTATTTGAAGATCAGTAAGTGTAAAAGAGTGTTATTAATAAATTTTTAATTTAAAGGGTTAAATATAATGGTTGAATTTTTTTAATGGTTTTGTTGTAATAATTTTGTTACATTTTTTTTATCATAGCAGGACCCATGATAAGCCCTATAAGTTCGGAAAGCACCCTCTAGTTCAGTGTAGTACAACGGAGAGTTGTATGTTGTGTTTGGAAAGTATGAATCGCTCCTGAAATGAAATATATTGATTCTCTTCTAATTGGTTCAACCAGAGCTACGAAGATTTACTTCATGAGCGAGGTCTTTGGTTCAAGTCCTGGATGGCTCAACTAAGCCAAGGAAGAATAGAAGAAGCATCTAACTCCTTTATGTGTGTTCTACTTGGCTCGAGAGAAGCCCAACCCTTTTTATTTTATAACCATAATGCATGGGTTGAAAGAGGGTAACTATTTGGTACTCTTAAAGGATCATGTAGCATTGTTTATGAGGTTGTACAAACCAATCTTGCTGTTGTAATGTTCTCAATTTCGTAAGACCTGATTTGTCAAATCTAAACCATATTCATCATTAATTCTCATTAATCAGTGGAATTATACATGTGGATAAATTAACTCAACATGGATCAATAGTTGCTCTCATAATAAATCTCCATTTCATTGTATTTCATTGAAATGTTTCATCTCAAGATTTACAAAATATGATTACATGATGTTATACATTCACAACTCTAAAATTTCAATCTATAACATGTAATGTATAAGATCTAAAAATAAATGATATTCAATTATATGCCCGAAATGCTTACAAATTCCAAGGGCCTTGCCCAATTACAACAAATGAGGGTTTTAACCCAAATACATATAAGCCCTTAGCTTTTACACAAAAGAAACAAAATGACCTGCAAGCTCCAAAATCCTCCACGTCTTCATCTCGGCGAAGGCATGCCATCAACATCTGATAATGGTTTCCACATAGGGATGAGCATATAATCCAATAGAGCTAATCTTAACAAAGCGCATGTGTGTTGATATTATCATGATCATGAAATACAATGATGTGTCATGCTCAAAATAGATATTTTGTTTTCTAAAAGATCATTCCATGCACTTTCCAAAATTATAAACGATTCAACAATTTTTATTTTATCAAAACATTGAGCAGTAAGTAAGTACAACACTGGAAATCTCTAAGTACGTGTCTGCTAGTAGTTTAAAGCACTACCAAATACCTTACTTTACCGGCTATTAATCAGAAGGAAATTAGAACCTACTCTGCTCTTGTTTTAGGACTTTCACTATGGACCTCAAGCCAACATAATTCTCAAATCATATCTACATACCTAACCGTATTTACCAAAGTATTACCCCATTTGTCAACATTTTTCAAAGGTTCTAAAAAACCAATTGTAATGCATTTCTCAAAACGCAATAGGAAGTAAAATCAAGAAATCATGAGTATGCCAATGCTATGCATGCTTTTCCAAATGTTTCAATTTTTCTAGTTTCCATATCAATTCTACAACAAGTCAATGCAATCCTCTACCAATTGCCAAAACAGTTATCTATATCAAAATATTTCAATAAGGCAATATTTAAAGAATGATTCACAATCCTGAACGCTTTCAAAATAGAACATGATTTCCAAAAATCTCATCATTCACCAATATATCAAATATTCATAATTTTTCAAGAATTCCATAAATTTTCTCAATACACAATCACATTTTCAATTTTTACATTTTCTAGGGTTTGAAATTTTTTGTAGATTTCCCATTTAACGCATAAATTTCTCCAATTCCCATGTCACATAACAACAATAGATAAAACAATTAAAACTTTTGATAGACATTTGAGTTTTTCCCCATTTTATGCATTAATACCAATATTTATAAAACCCTAATCTTTCAAACAACTCTAACTATCAAAATATCACACAATCTTGCGAAAATACATATACTAAGTTAAGAAAATCCCTACCTCGAAGATTAAGAAGGAGAAGGAAGAATTCAGAATTTTCGACCTCGTCAGATCAATGATTGCTTTGGTCAAAATGACAACGCGCTCTTCACTTTGGTCTGAAGAACTAGGGTGAGATTGTCATTTGGTTTGGTTTAGATCAATAATTTGTAAGAGTTTGAGAGTCTTTTTAGAGAGAATAGAGAGAAAAAATGAGTTTAGAGAGAGTGAGTGAAGAGAAACGAGTGAAAAAAAGAGAGAAAGATAGGGAGAGAGAGAGAGAGAGAGAGAGGGAGAGAGAGATTTGAATGAAAAAGGACATAAAAATCAAAGTCTTAACATGTGTATCCACACAAGTGATGCGTCTAATCTACGCAAGCGGTTCAATGCAGGGAAAAAGTAAGAACCCCTCCAATTTTCGTATGAGCAGTTTTCCACCCAAAACACTCCCAAATCCCTGACTACTTCCGCACAAGTGGAATCTAAAATCAGTACGAGCGGTTTCACCTGGGAACCAGGCACTTCTAAATTTGATTACAAACTACGATTTTTCATTCTTACACTCAAGATTTTGAAAATCTAGCTCAATTAAGGAATATGAAACACAACTTTGATAATGATCACTAAGGCGTCACTCAATGCATACGGTTTTCAAGAACAAGAATAATAGGAGGGTTTTACCCTTGTGTTTCCCACCCAAGTTTAAGATCCGGGACATCATAGCTGTGATCTTATGAGATGTGATGACTCACCTTTGTTAGGTAGTTAATAGATAAAGAATGACCTACTTAGTGTTAGATGCGATTTCTTATTTGTGGAGAACATCACATGGTTTTCTCAAACTATCAAATAAGGTTGAGGATATATTACAAAGAGGAAAATATATTGAGTGTAACATAATCGGATCCTAAATGCTATATATTTGGCCCATTAAAATATATTTTATTAGTCCGTTAATTTGTATTATTCTTTAGTTTCATGTGATTTTGTGTGTTTGTACAAAAATCAGTATAAATAATACATTTTAGCTAGTTTATATTACATAATAAAATAAATTTAATAATAAAAAAATAAAAAGAAGAAAGAAGTGGTGAAGGTGGGAGGCTAACCACCCCACCCATTAATTATATATCTATATAATAAAGCATGACTATTTTTGAAAATGTCTTACACACGTTTGTCCTACTAGGACATTTGAACGATTAGGATTCATTTCTACTTGAGGATAGATGGTAGAGATGATAACCTTCTTTCTCACTCTGCCTCAACTTCCCGTCCAATAGCCATACTTAAAAAATAGACCTAAAACGTTGCAACCACCCATCCTTATCTGTCTCATCTCACTTCAAAACACACCTGCCTACTCTCTACAGAAGAGAGACCCACCCATCCACTCTCTATAGAAGGGAGATCCACGCTCATCGAACTCTCTTTATAATCTCTCTCTCTCTCTCTCTCTCTCTCTCTCTTTCTCTCTATCACTCTCTCTTCGCCTTACTTCCCACCGGTACATCTCTCTCTGATAGCTTGATGGTGCCACTGTTTCGATGCCGTCACTCCTAGATCTAGATCCACTACCACTTCCCGTTGTGAGATCTATAGCTCTCACACATTCCTCCTCTGCTACAGCATACAAACAACCGATGATTTCACCACCACCGCTTTAGAGAATCTTCTGCTGAATAGAGATCTGTATACTAGCAGTTGTTCAAGTTCATCGGTGATGGTGGTGGACTGATCTTCACTGTATTTATGCGTTTCTCTCAACGCGACGGAGTTTTGCACTGTCGTATATGGCGGAGGAGCCTAGATCGACTTCACTCTTCATCACCTCAATGATGTGAAGCCACACAGAGAGTTCAAGACGACAAGGAAGTCTCGGTCGGAGCTTATTCCTCTTCCCTTTATATCATTCAATTTATTGATCAAATAGATGACCAAATGTATTGATTATACAGTTTTCTCCCTTTGAGAGAGACTCTCTTTCTCTCTAGTTGTCTTGTGGACTTGGGGATGATTCACTCTCTTCACAGCATTTGCAGTTTGATCCAAATAAAAGGTGTAGACACCCCATTTTTGACGGCCCTTACGACTTGGACGCCATCGTATGCACACCCCATAATGAGTTTATTTTCTTGTCAAGTCCTCGAAGTCCTCAACGAAATCCTTTCAAACCCTGCACCCTTGTTGCCTTAGTTTTGGACCAAGCCTTGGTTCTTCAAGCCTGCAACCCTTGGTGGCCTGTCGACCACCATTTTGAGCTGCCGGCCATCACTTTTTGGCTGCCGGCCACTAATGTGGCTTGCCGGCCACTAGTCTCTTTTGCAGATATTTTGTGACAGTTGTGCCAGCTGTTTGCACAGATGCATGCATCTGCCCCTACGTGTAGAGCTGGATATTCTTGAGGAAGGCTCATGGTTTTCTATATATAGGAGGCCTCCTTTCGTGTTTTAAAGGTTAAAAAATTTTAGAACAAACATTTTCCTCTCTCTCAACAATTCTTTCTCTCTCTAGAAGATTGCTACACTTTTGCCTACAAATCCTTAACCTTTGCCTATAGACCCTTAACCAAGCCTTCTCATCTTTGAGCTAAGGCACTTTTGAGCTTGGTTTGAGCTCTTGAAAGGTGTGTTATCTTGGTTTTGTTGCTTGAATTGCTTCTTCTCTTCAAAAGGTATAAGGCTTTGCCTATTTGCGTGCTTTCTCTACTCTTTTTCTTGCTATTTTCCAACTATTTTTGGGCTATAAAAATTTTGTATTTTGGGGCTAAAACTTGGGTCCTAAGGCCATTAAAGGTTGAAGGGGTGGTTCACCCTTCTTTGTACCTTGTTTTGGAGGGTTTTACCCTTGTGTTTCCCACCCTTTTGCTATCTTTTTCTGAGCTTTTAAACACTAATTTTTAGAGATTTTTTAGTGACCAAAATCATGTTTTGACGTCCAAATTTGGAGGGGTTAGCCTCTCCTTCTTGTGTCTTGCTTACTAGCCTAGTTTGTGCTATGTTTTCTTGCTTACTAGCCTAGTTTGTGCTATGTTTTAACTTATTAATCTAGCTATTTTTAACTCAATTCTAGCATGTTTTAGGACTTATTTTAACCTGTTTAGGACTATTTTTGGTTGATAGTTGCATTTAAGCTTTGTTTTGCATGCTTATAGTATAATTGTCCTTATGAGATTGGTGTTCTAGGCCTTAGACACCATCTTATTTGGTTTGATAGCATTTATTTATGCTTTTCTCACTTATTTTCAGCACTTAATCATCTCTGCAACCTCCCTCCTTTCTTGATTTTTGTTTTGCTTTGAAAGTGGTTCAAATAACTTGTTCATTTAAAGCATGAGATTGAGATGTTATGCTTAATGGTTTAATTCCTTAGGGGGTTCATTACCAATAGTATGATGTCTGTTTCATGCCTAAAACAACTTATGGTTTGAGCCTTCTTTCCATTTAGAGGACTCAAACTCGCCATTGGACTTAATGGATTAAAGAATGGATGGTAATTTAAAATGGAGTAATTAAAACTTGGAATTAAAAGTGAGCAAGATAATAATTGATTTTGTGTTCAATCAGACGTTAATTGATCACATGGACGCTTGAAGCATTTCATACTCATTAGTGATGAAATGATTCAAGTCTCTAAGG